AAATACCTCCATATTAGAGAAAAATAAAAATATGAGCATATATGAATATTTGTCCTACTTTGTTTGACATGGTATAAGAGTCAGGTTTTCGTGACATGTGCTTGCATTATCCTTGTAATTTAATTGCTCTCCTCCCCTCCTCTTCAGGGGGGGCAAGGGGAGTGAAAAGGATATGTTTATTGACGTATACCCATTACATTGGCATATTCCTATGAAGATGTTGCATATTACTTGACTCCAACGACCCCTCTTTTTTTAAGGGGAGAGGGAGAGTGAAAAGAAGTTGTGTCTGCGTGAATGACTTGAAGTTGATATGGAAGAATTTTTCATCGTTTTCAGTTTCCGTTTCTATGGTTATTGTCGATGATGTTGCTGTGTTTTGATTCGTCTCTGCAATATCAAAAACCCTAAACATTACCTATTTCCACTGCACTATATACCTAGCCTATAATCCTAGCCCGCCTCCGTTGCCTACCTTGCTATTGCAGCCACTGCCTCCACCCTGCCATTCATCACCATGTCGAATGTTGATACCTTTATTTCTTCACTTCTTCTGGTTCTACTTCACCTAATGCTTCTCCTATTCTTATTGTGACGATTGAATCTACTTCACCTATTGCTTCTCCTACCCCTATTGTGACAGTTCAGACTGAATTGTCCACCAAACTACCTTTGGGATTCAAATTGAATAGATCCAACTATGCAATTTGGGCTTCGATAATCGAACTCTATGCTTCTTCACAAGGAAAATTGGATTACCTAACTCGTGACTCTGATGCCGATTCCAAATATCTATAATTTGGAAAGTGAAAAATTGATGATGCTACCATGAAAATTTGGATGATGCACACTATGGAATCTAGTTTGTTGAATGCGTTCTTTGCCTTTCCTACTATCGTGCTTACAGGGTTTCTGTGTTCTGCCTTACCTACTGTTGTGCTCACAGGGTTTTTGTGTTCTACCTTGTCTACTGTCGTGCTCACAGGGTTTCTGTGTTCTGCCTTACCTACTACCATGCTCACAGTATTTCTATGTTCTGTCTTACCTACTGCCATGCTCACAGGATTTTTGTATTATGATTTTATGTGTTCTTCTATGTGTCATATTTGTTAGGGTTTGTCAATTGTTTCACTCGTGGTTTATGACAAGGCCTTCTCGACAATTATTCGATAATGTCGAGTATTGTGTTCTATGACTCGCTTGTCAAGTTTGGCATGCAAAATATCTTTGCTCCAACTTGAGGGGGAGTGTTGGCGAGTCCTTAGTTAGGATTTTGGTTACTTACCTATTTTCTTAGTCCTATTATAATTGAGATTTATTTCCGATTATAATTTATATTTTCTCTTGTACTTTGAATTTATTTCCTATTTTATTTAGGTTTGTACTTCTTCATCCCCTTATCCCTCCTCCTTTCTCTGCCTTCCCCTCTCTACCTCCTCATTTTCCCCTTTGGCCCGTTGTTGATGTTTTGTTGTTTTGGTTGGTTTGTTGTCTACACTTGGTTGTTTTGTTTGTTTCTTTTTGCAGATTTGATATTCTTGTTTTAAATGTACTTCATATCTGTAGTTCGTTTCTATTTGTGATTTGAAGACAGACGAGGTGATTGATCGGCTTGTATTTGGAGTTGTTTGAGTCGCAATAATTCCATCAACTCTTTGTGAGTTGGGTGTTCATTTGTGTTTTAGTCTCTACTTGTGAGAGTTGTAATAGTTGTATTTGTAATTTTGGGCATTGTATTTCATGTATGATTTGCTCAGGCGTTTGTATTTGGCCTTTTAGGGTAATTAGTGAAGATAGTGCAATACCCTCTCCTATATCTGGATGAACCCTTTGCGATTAATGTGCATCCGTCTTTGTATTAATGCTTTATGAGTATTTGGTCAATGTGCCCAATTATTAAATACAATTATCGCTCATTTTCAAATAAATAAATAGCACTTTAAGCTATTAATGAAACGGCATCTCTTCTATTATATATTGGAGCCCCTCATCAAACATGAGAAAATGCCAATTAGCTGTGCTCGTAGTCTGGTTTTTTTCTGCGGCCCTTATTTCGTAATCTGTTTGTTTCTGGGCTGACCATTTTCAACTAAATAGAAAGTAAAATTAAAATCAAAAGACGCTTTGATATATGGTCACCATCGAAGACAATCGCCCATTCATGCCAAATTAATCAGCTTCCTAATTAGGGAGGAAAATTCAATGGACTCTTCTATTCCAAACAGCTTGCGCTGGCATATATTAGATCTGTCACAAACCCAACCCAGAGGGAGCCTCCCTTGTCATTTACTCACCAAACCATGCATGATCGGAGAGAGAGAGAGGGAGAGATCACAGAGGTCATCAGAGATAAACATGTAAATAATTGGAAATCAAAATGTTCTGCTATTGATCAAAACACCAAGAAAAAGTTTGGGTAAACATCATGAACCACAACACTACATATTGAAGAAAGTAAAATCACTACAAAAATGGCTAAGAAATCCCAGAAAGATGAACCAACCACCATTTTCACATCATGGGCAGATTTCATAAAATCACTTTGTTGATGGTTCCAATCATTTTCATAGATGATGGGTTTCGTCTCTGACTACTTCCATATGGCTCCAATATTATATCGACCCATCCCTTTCATCTCACATGAACAATCACATCGCATGTTATTTATGAGAGAGAGAGAGAGGAGAGAGAGAGAGAGAGAGAGAGAGAGAGAGAGAGAGAGAAGGACGAGAAGATCATAAAAGAAAAGAAGTTTGGATATTTTGGACTGGTTTGTGGGAGCTCCTTTGAGGGCTTGGGGATTTTCAATTCCAAAATTCCATCATTTCGGAAATGGAAATGGAAAATGAAAATGACCCAAGACCCCAAGTTCTAGTCTCCGCATCCACTCTGTTTATATAGGTAGGGAATTAGGGGTTTGTGAAGAAACCCACAAGAGGCAGAGCATCATGATGGCCACGTACTTGGCAGCTGTGGCTTATGTGATAGATTTACTTGACTCTTGGCTATTTTAGTTTTTATTTTTTCCCTTTTTGCTACTTTAATTATAAAGTTTATTCCCATTTTACCCGCAGCCATGATGCTAAGAAAGTTGAAAGTTTTGACCCAAATCCCATTCTACTCGGACGGGATTGGTTCATCTTAGTTTATCTATTATGGACTTAATCCCTGCATATCCACTGCTACTGTGAATGCGAAGTAAAATTTAAATCATGTCATGACTTCATTTACCACTAATTGACTTAAATTATGAAATCCTTAACGGTCGTTTTTGTTTCTAAATTTACCGCCGTAAACAAGATGTACGATTGATAACAAAATGGTGCGGTGAGAAGTCCGGATTAGGTCAAGGGGCTTAAAAGCTGAATTTATGGTAAGATAAGATCAAATCCGAGTACGGAGAAAAATTATTAGAGTTACGATGCAACTAAAACCAACGTAGTTAGAGTTAGACAAGACATTCAGCTTGTTGAATTTATGATGAATTTGTTCTTATCCGATGCACCATTGGACTTAAAATACGTAATGGATTTGATCTTATCCCGATGCACTTAAAAAAAAATATATATATATATATATATATAGTGAGAGTCTAGACAAAAATGCATCTTGGGGTTGGACTTTTGGCAATAGAGATTTACATTTCATGGAAACACATTTGTAGCCGTCTAGATCAATTAGCTCACGCCTTTCTATTAGGTTATTAGGATATAAAAATGTGTTCCCATTAAAGGGGAATTCGGTTTGAAGATGTAGCCTTGCCTCTTGGCTCTCGCTACATTCAAACAGCCTTCTCTTTATTTTCCTTTATTGGGTATGCGTAATGTGTATGTTTGGCTTTACCGTATGTGTACGGCTCACAGTTGCGCAATTTGCGTGAGGCTTAACTTTTTCGGTTTCGGCCCCTCAATTTCAGGCTGCTGGTGTCTAGTGACACAGTCATCTTTCTATTTATAGGGAAATTGGCCAAATTAATTTCCAAAGTAAACCTTCGTAAAGCTTGCGCACACGTTTTACGAAGGCTTGGAGTAGTAAACATTGTAGATGCAATTACATGGACCATACACAGATCTAAGGCCCCGTTTGGTTCATGGGAAAGGAGACTTGGGAATGAGAAACCAATTACTTTCCCATGGGAAATGATTTCCCCTCAAATTTATTCCATGAACCAAACGGGACCTAAGAGTAACAAATCATGGTGTGGTTCCTATCAAGAAGAAAACATAATATGTAACATTGTGTTAGGATCCTACTCATTTAATGGGTTGTATGTATCCAAGAAATTACGGGATCCAATCATTCAAATCAACCTTACGAATTCCATGTTCCGTATGCGTGTTCACGTTCCATTTACAAAAATTTGAAAACTCAACATCGGTTTACCAGACCTGACTCAGTTAGAGCCTGGTTTCAGTTTACTTAAAACAAGAAAACTACGAATTTTCAAGGCCATCTGAATACAAGATAATGAAGGTCTGAAGTAAAATATATTCGTGGCATTTCAGTCAATTCAAAGTACAAAAGCAACTAGCACAATAAATATAAAAATACTAGCCAGCGGTCCTTGTGCAATATTTAGCCGAACAACAGATCATAGTTATCCTAAAAATACTGGAAGTAGTCCCCTATACGTCAACAGCAAAAGAGGCAATGAGAAATTTACCCCTTTGGATGCCAAGACCATGTCATTCGAAGAGTGATGAGAGAGAAATCTTCACAACTGAGAAAAATAAACAGAAACAACTTACTGTACAGGCAGCTGTACAAGAATAGATTCCTTGCCATCTATCACAGATCTCCACAAATGTCAGTCATTCATCAAGACTTTTGAAACCAACGTCTTCAATCAGCCCTAATACCTCAAGTTGTGGCTGGCACTGATTAAAAGTTAGAATATTGCACAGCAAAAAAGACTTGATAACACCCAAAATCCATGGAATGATAATCACCACATCAAAAGACGGCATAGAAAGAACCTTGTATCACCTTCAGAGGGGCTTCTATTCATCCTCTATCTCCACAAGCTGTGCCCGTCTCTCAGCAGCTTTCTTCCTAACAAAGAAACCCCACCTCATTGCTGCTTTAATTTTCAGCCACCCCACAACAGCTTTGCCAGGACGGTTGCGATCTTCGTCATAGCTGGGCATTGGTGATGGCATGAATGAGGGGAAGGAATACCCATCATCAGGCACATCAATGGAGCCATGGCCTCCCATACTGAAGATTCTGAGCAAGTGCTGCATATCCTCATTTTCGAGCATCTCATGACTTCTAACGCGAATCTCTTCCTCTGAAAAGAAATCTCGGTTGGTTGTCCAGTCATCTAAAGGATTAAGAGTGGATGGCTGAGAAGAAGAATTGATAGTCTGAAATCCTGATGTAGATGATTGTGGAGGAGCAAGGGCCAGCCCAACAGCATTGGCATCACCTCTTGTGCTTTGTCCCTCATGTGAATTGCTGATCAATTGGTCATCTAGTGCAAATCCACTGCCATCAAACTGGGTGCGAGAGTTGGAATTTACAAGTGGCTGGGTCAAGTATCTTGTTGATAGATTATCATTATACCCTACAGAAATAAACAAAAAACAAAAGAGAATCATAATTAGCAACGTGTCTAGCTAACATCCTCACTGGATGACAGGAAACATCATCACATGCATGCATGTGTGTGCATACGTGATTGTGTGTTGTGTGTGTGTGTGTGTGTGTGTGTTAAACTCTTAAGAATCTAAATATAGCATGCAAGGCATAAAAATTTCACGTGTATAGAACAGATTGTGTAGTGTGTGACCAAAAAAGTTCATGTATAATCCATTGGCATTATTGATTACAACCTTAGGCTTGGTTCCGTAAACCCAAGTAAATGTAGCACTACTTATAAATCCTACACTCTATATATTTCGCTTCAAGTTATATTCCACACAAGCAAAAAACCCTTTCACTCTTTCAGCTTATCTTCATTGATTAGTTAAAAATATAGTTTATGAGGCCAGATATGAAACATTGAATACTCATGCAGGCAGCAATGTTTACCTCCGATTGGTAGGGCTGGATCCAATGGAGGTTGCTCTGAGGGAACTGAATTTGTCAGGCGAGGTACTTGCAGTTGATGATCTGAAGCATCGGAGTAACTGATTGGGCCAGTCTGAAATTCAGTTCGGGTTGACCTCTTATTCTGCTTGAAGTTTAGAAGTGACTTGCCATCATACTGAATAACTTGATCCCAATTTTCATATGCTTTCTTCACCAGCGTATCTACATAGACCTGCAAAAACAAAAGCATTATAGAAATTTCATGTATAAGACCTTCCCCCTGTCAATTGTTTAGCATAAAAGATAAAGAATAATATAGTATCATAACACCAAACTGTTCAGTTAGAAACACAAAGTACATAATTAGTTTATAAGCCTTGTAGTTACCGGGTGTTTTCAACCTAATAACATAACTTCCATACATTTACTAGGAATGAGAGAAGACTACAGCAGGAACAAAGATTTAAAACATAAAGAGCACATCCTCCTAACATGAAATTATCAGAAAATAAAATAAAAATAAAAAAATTTCATCTCCCTACATTAATTCTCCTTGGTGATGGTTTCTGTTTCAACTCTTCCACTATGTGTCAAATATAAACCCTTGCAGCAAAAAGAAAATTTATTTTGAAATATGTAATATAAAAGAACACAAAGATTGACCGACCAAAAAATAAAAAAAGGGAGACCATATTCCAAAAATTAATAACTAAATCAAAAGAAAGAGGTTAATATTCACCTTCTGGCTGTCAGATAGAGCATCAGCAGAGTGAAACTGCTCCCCAGCAATGAGGCCACTCAGCTCATAGATGTTGTTAAAAACAACACCAACATTTCTTGTATCTTCAGGATAATAAACATAAAGCTTCCCACTCAAGACACAAGTCTTTGCATGTTCTAAAAGAGCATCCCACATCTTGTTCGACATACCGCTTCCAAGAATCTATATACAGTATCCAAACAAAATATAAAACATCTACAATGTACAAAATTGTGTAAGTGTTAGTGTGCGCTTTTACAACTCAAACCAAGTCCTACACTTACATTCCGTAATTTCTGAGAATCTCGGACCACAAGCTGAAGAAACTCTTCAACCGTGAATATTCCTGCATTGTTTAGCCTCTTATGGAATGCCCCATCCTTGCCAATCTTCTCCAATCTCCATACGTCATCATTTAATGCTGGTGGGTAGTGTTTCTTGTACACTGTCAAGATCAATGGAAAAAAATAATAATAAAAAATCAACAACAGTGTGCTAGAACAGATAGAAAAAGAAGATATACGCCAGAGCATGAACCTACATTCTCCTCTGTGATCTTTAACAGTAAAAGCTTCTGTCTTAGCTTCACGTATGCGCATGCCCTCACAAAATCCCGAAGCAACTTTCATTCCAAGCCTGAACTTCCTGCTTCGTATCCAACTTGAGTTATCTGTAAAGGTCAGATCCCCTAGTGTTCCTACCCCTTCTTTGAGGGTTACTTGCAGTTCCCCAGTCAACAGAGGTCTCTTCCCATCACGCTCTTTCACCACATGGCTATCAAATTCTTCTTGAGTCCAGCCTTCATCATCTTCATTGTTGAAATCACCTTCAAGCACAACAACATCCAGTTTTACAGAGGATTCAGGTCCTGAAGTCACAACTCGCTGTGTGTTTCTATCAACCAAAACAACATGAATTGCAGCACCCTGCTCGCCTTCAACTTTCCCTCCTGTGAAGATCGGAAGAGACAAATTGGACCTAAACTCTAGCTGCAAGTTTTGCCCATTGGGACCTTCAATCCGTTTTGGGGAAGACCTGAAATGTCAAATGTCAGAAACTGTTTTACCACAACATGATTGAACATATAGTTCATGGCGACATTTTTTTTATAACTTTCTTATTTTGCTAAAATAATTCATGGTTGTGATGACTGACATCAGGGAGCATTGAAACAAAATATCTTACATTAAAAAGCATCTAGCATTACTCTCCCTTTTTGCAAAAATTTCCTTTCTGATATCATATAAATGATTAGAAATCTGGATAGGCAATCCTTGCTTATCCTGATAACTGAACGGGATTGCTTATCTATAATTCTTAAAGGGGTTAACTATTTTGCTCTATTATATAAATGATTAAAAAAAAATTCATTCATTATAAAAATAAATAAATAAAATTCTCATAAGTAATTTTTTGACCTTCCATTAACTCTCGGAGGGCCTAACTTAGCCAACGCACGTTCCACTTCTTCGCTTACCTGTAAACCAGTAAAAGAATAAGCGCTACAGATCAAGAGCATAGACAGAGAATCCCAATAGGTCTCTTATGTTTTGACCATAACTAAGACAGATCGTGTTACATAACCAACAAACAGTTCATTTATAAGAAAGCAACTATCCTGCATAAAAATGCAAAAGAATCATCCGAACCTTTAATTGTTTTAATACTTCTAGTTTGTCTTCTCTTTATACATGATACCAACATCAAACTAAGACAAATTGGAAGTACTAAAACTATGTTAATGAACAAAAAAAATTTGCGCCTTGATTTAGGTTTCTTCATTTGAACAAATCATTTTTTACTAAAATGACTAATGATGTAGCCCGCCCTAAAAAAAAATTCAGTTCACAAGATTTAATCACTATTCCAAGAGTCAAGAACGCTCTGACTTAGCTTTTAACCCACCACTAAATAAATTTAGCTTCCATCACTCTTTTCAATATAAACAAAACTAAGTTACATACACTACACAAAATTCTTGGTCACCTTTAAAAATATAGCTTTAAAATTTGGTTGAGAAGTAAAAGAGTTTTAAAACAATGTTCTTGCTAAAAAAACCAAAGGTCTTATATATCAAACTCTTTTCCTAATAATTTTTCTTTATGTTACCACCAATCTCTGGAGTGGGACATGACAAACCTCTCTTAGTCACCAACCCCAGGTCTGGGCACAATAGATTTGGTGTTAGAGGAGTTACCCACATAAAGAGAAGTAGGCGATGAATTTCAACACAAATAATCAGTAGTATTCTCATAAACATTCAGAAGGAACTGCAATGTCAGAGAATTATATTTCAGATGATTCAGTTAAAACTAAAATACTCTGCAAATCAAACACATAACAATAGCCAGGCTATCGTCTTCTTTAACAACCAACTCAGTTAAAGAAAAAATAGTCCACATATCAAATGCATGAGCCTGAAAAGGTATTGAATAATAATCAACTCTCCATTGATTATGTTAATCACTGTTCCAAGCTCAACAGTGAAACAAGCATATGGTAACTTTAAACTATCTTTTGATTTGTTCAGCTTTATCAGCCCAAACGTACATTGGATAACCAGTACTAGTATCTATCTTTAAAAAAGGAGGGATAAACTCGTCACATATGAAAGGTATCAAACACAAGCATGGAAAGCAGGAGTACATATAAATATCTCTCAGGTATGGATAGGCCACTATGGAACTTCCTCACAATCAGTCTTCTTTGGGCAACAGAATCAAAATGTATTAAAAGCAAAATTTCTAGTATACCTAATATGATAATGGATCCCTATACACACTCAAAAGAGAAAGAGAAATAGCACCAGTGCCAATAATGTTGACATTCTGAATACAAATCAAAACACTACCACCAAAATGATGAGGACACTATAATAGATGTATATGCGGGCACTCATGGAGTGGGGGAAGAAAAAGAAAAAGAAAAAAAAAACCTAAAAAGAAGTGACTAGAGATTTGAATAGAGTATGGAAACCACAGAGATAACAATAAAGAAAAGTAGTTAGAAGAAAGAAGGACAAAATAAGCACACAGGCTACAATGATGTTAAACCAATAATTCATATTACACTAATCAATTAGAGAATGCATAAACAAAAGGTACCCGAAAATAAAATTTTGAAACACACTTACAACTCTACGAAGAATAGGTTCCAATGATGAGCATAGCTTCTGCAGACTGTCCACCTTGAGAGCTTCTATAATTACACTGCAAATATATATTCAATGGAATATAAAGAACATGATAGAAGACATATTGAACCTTTAGACAAAAATTCATTTAAGTGGCTAATTCATGCATGCAGAAATCCATAGGGTCTACTTCTCTAGGAATGGGTGATAGCAAAGTACTTAAAGCCATACTAACAACGCACAGAAACTTATGCCCAATACAAACAGAGGAACATAAGGGAACATACAAAAGCACCAGACATATGATCTTGAAACTGAAATGAGAAATTATAAAGGAACCGCAAAAATAACAAGTCATTGGGTGTGTCTCAATGAAGAGTTATAGTACCAAATACAAAAATATCACAATCTGATGAGAACAACATGGCTGTAATTGTGCTGTGCAATGGTCATGAAATACGCTAAAGTTAAAATCATATGTCACTCTTATCTTCTTCTAAGCAAGTCATTAAGGAATTTGAGGTAACTTAGCATTTACTCAAAAACCATTTCTAATCAACAACTAAATTAGTCAAAGAAGCACATTGCTCTAGTTCTCGAGTGCGCATCAGAGCAACTAGACGGTCCAAATATAACTATATCAGCTCAAACTAAAAGGAGTTTTTCCTACAATTCTCAAATTATACGACTAATTACTCAAATTAGCAAGCAAAGAATATAATCAACAAAAAGAATTCACATAATCAATTGAAATTAAACAAGACGAAATCCGTTACCTAGCGAGAGCCGGCCGCTTTCGTTCCGGCTGCTCCTCCTCTCCCCCTTCCATTGGCCTTTTCCCTCTCATAGAGTTGGTCCTCTCCATGAGTCTAGTCTGCCTCTGCATTTTATACCGATTTTCAGAACCCTAGATTTCCAGATCTGCAGAACACCAGAAAATCAAAAACAGCTACTTCACTACCAAAACTCACATCAAGAAATGCATAACAGCTAAACACATAACTATCTACAAACTTTTCAAAACTAAACTGAAATTCAACAAACAAAAAAAAAGGTCCATCAAATTTAAACCATAATACCTCGTTTTCTGCTGAAATTTGGAGTGATAATAGAACTGAGCTGTGCGGAGAGGTTATATTTGTCTGTCAGTTTCTTAAATTTGCAGAGAAAACGTGCGAGAAAGTGAGAGAAAGTAGTTTCTGTTTGGAGAGAGAACGAGAAAATGGGGAACCTGAAATAAGGGCGAGCGGTCTCTAGTTAAGTCTACTCTGGCGACTCTTCAGCAGAAGTGTCAATTATCCAGTGCTTCTTCGACCACGGTACTCGCTTCTTCTAGTTATGCCGTTTTATGTCAGGGGAAGACGTTTTGGGACGATATGGCACGTGGCATGAGTCCATTGGATGATATAAAGTGTTGCGTAGGTAAATAATATCGCTGGCAATGTGTGTAATTGGGGTCCACTTTTCGGTCTATGCTTTAAGATTGTCCGGAGGCAATGTTGTGTTGAATCGTGACCGTACGTTTGACGGCCGAAAAATGAAATATAAAATTAGTTAAATTACCGGCCGAAGAGATATTAATTAAGATGACGTCACTTGTTGGAGGTTGGCTTACGTCCTTTCTTTGTCTCTTTTATTTTCAATAAACTTTTTCTTTTTCTCTTCTTTTCTGTTTTTTTTATTGTGTTTTTTACTTTTCCTTTCTTATTAGTTTGGTATTTTGTAGGTTTTCTTAGTGACATTATTCACTCCTTTCTAATTTTGTACGAAATATATAGTTTGGGGAAAAGAGGGATTCAAACGTGATCTCAGGTGTACGAATAACTACTCTTCACCACTTGAACTACTAGTATGTATGTAAGGGGAGAAATAAAAATGAAAAAAGAGTAGTGGTTATTATTGTAGAATAATAACGTGGCGAAACAATTGTGAAAATGATATTTTTATTTTTATTTTATTAAAATAAATTTAAATTACATGTTCAATTTATTAATATCTATTTTCATTATTTTTTTTGTTCTATTTTTAAAGTTTAAGATGAGATTAGTTATTCTCAGCATCAGCGTCAGAGCAGACTCACAACCTCGAACCGTAAGGACTTACATGTGGCACCAAACTGTCAACTACCAGTGCTATGGTTTATGGACTTACGCATGATAAAACATGGACATAAAGAAATGCTTTTGTAAGGGTTGACAAAAGGCTTCTCTCTTAGCAATAGTAGATGCAGTAGTACATAAAAATGAACTTCACTTATTTTTTTGCACTTAACTGAGAAACATTTACAAATTACATATGTAATGCACAAACGTGGAACCCTATAACATTAAGACAAGATCAATCATATAACAATAGATTTCACTTTTTTAACCAATTAGTTCTTGTAGTTGAATATAGAATATACTATTATTCTAGGGACACTTTTCCCGCAAAGACAGACTGCTTTATGAAAATCTCATGCCCACCCTCCTCATGACTCTAACCATGTAATGAGGAAGCTCGCTTACCACCACAGAATATTGACACCGGGGTTGGTGGGAGGCATGGACAATAGTGTGTGATGAGTCATATTGGATTTCGAAGCTACTAATAGTCCAATTGCGCATTTACGTTGTCATATAGGCCCCCAACCCTCAATATCGGCTAATGATTTTAAATAGGATAATGATTTTTCCACTCTAATTTTATCCACTTGCACTCATTTTTTAGTTATAAAATGGAGTGTAAGTGGATAAAATTGGAGTGAGAAAATCACCACTCTTTAGATATTACCATTTACATATACAAAATTTGAGTCAAGTTGAAAATCATTTAAATAATTAGTTTATCATAAGTTATTTCAGTGTTTATTAAAAAGGTTGACTCATTTTTTACTTTGGTAAAATAAAATTGGATGTGACAATTTGCGCCTACCACATGTGATGACACTTGGAAGGATCTCTCCAAAACGAAGATTTAAAAATAGGTTCAGATCCTTTTTTCTTTTTGTTGTAGAAAGGACTTATAACTTTCATAGAAACTTCGAAATGCAATACAACTTTGAGGCCGCCTTAAGTCGCATTGGTGTGAGTATTATTCAATTTGTCGTTCGCTTGGAAGCGACATGTTATTAGTCCAATTTTGACTATGAAATTCGCAATTGCCAATGACTTAAGTTTCTCTCAATTCAATTACCAGAAATTGAAATGATGGAAATCTAAATTCCTTCATTTTAAAATTCTATGTAATTTTTAATTACTTCATCCAAACAGGATTAGAAAAAAAAAAAAAAAAAAAAAAAAAAAAAAAAAAATAATGCACAATGTAGACCTTTAACTTTTTTACTTCATAGAAGATAAATATCAGGAAAACTTGATACTTTATATAATGCAAGGAATATTCAACTTTTTGTGTGCGGACTGTGGAGTCCAGCGTTTATGTGTGGTTATAAACGGCTAAGATTAGCATGTACCATATACAAACAATTAATTCAACATGATATAATCCCTCCCCTCCACTTTTGTCTTTAGGAGACAGAGATGACAGACCAAAAGGACATGGACCAAAAGAAATCCTTTCTATAATATCCATTATCCAGTATTCATTTCTTTGGCAATCAACCAGATAATTAGAGATATGGAAGAAAAAGAAATCAGCTATGAAAGAGAAATAGAACCTTTGTAGGATAATTGACAGGAGATATCCTTTGGTAGCATCATCACCATGGGTGGGACAAAACCTAGAGTATGAGTAAAATGTGGTGGATACTATCTTATAGGCTATATCTCAAGTTGGTATTAGAGATATGCAAAGCCGGCAATTCTGACCGTTGATCGATGTTGCCCCTACATTTGATCAATGATCAGAAATCACCGACAGGTGCATGAGCAACGGACCTTAGTATTCTCGTATGTGTAACAGTGTAACAGCATAACACACGACACCTTGGTAGGTAAATTACATAAGCACCCTCCAATCATTGGACAGCATTAGTGGGATTTCAAAGCGTAGGGACACGAAACGGGAGAGAAGGAAACTGGACAAAGAAGGCATTTTCTCGTGTGTCGTAAGAGGGATGCATCATACAGGCAAGAAAAGGCGAAAGAGACCCATCCTAAGATAGGAGGGAAATAAGTATCCCATTGTAAATTTACTCATTTGCCCTTGCATTTAAGAAATAAATTAATAATATTAAAAAATATGGATAAAATACAACTGTCCTTCCCTTTTTTTTCCTATCTCCTCCTATCAAATTATAGAGAGTATAAGCAAATGAACTGTCACACACACTCCCTTATCTTTTATTCTCAAGGGGGTGAGGGAAGGCATTATGAGGGCTAAAAGCCATTGGCATGCGGACAAAATAGGCACAAGGCCAACGCATGAGACCAAAATGTAATTAACAAATAAATAAGAATTGCAAGTTGTGGAAAGATTTACTTGAATTCATAGTTGCAAATATTTTAATTGTTTTGAGATTGGCTAAGTTCTTCAAGCCTTCTGTAAACTTTAGTGAGGGCTTCGTTGCAGACCTTGGGAGATGTGCAGGGTCCGCACATGAGATATATGACATGTCCCAGAGGCCTCATGTAAACTCCGTCTTCACGGAGCTTCTTCAGAAGGGAGCTTGCATACAGTGACCCATACCTATTCAAAATTCACAGAACAAAACATTTCAAACAAGGGTTATAAAGATTACAGGACACAACGCAGCGCTGAAATTGTCAGCTATCGCAATGTTGAGTCAAAAAGCTACCGTTGATGATAACACTGTATAATCATAGCATAGCATTATGATACATGGAAACTTGTTCTTAATCTATCAACTATACAAGCACCTCTACATCTTGTCCACAAGCGAAACATTCAGGCACACATGCATACATACTACGTACATACACCCACACACACACACACACACACACACACACACAGAGATAAAAAGATATATCTATAAAATAAAAATCTATTAATTTTTAGAGTAAATATTAAAAGATAGAAGAAGATGTCATGATACAAAGGGTTGGCTGGCCGATTGAACAGGTGACTTCAGGCCAATGATTTTAAAAGTCAACTTGTGGTCTAAATTGTTAAAACTCATAACCTTGGAACAATTGCTAGCATCATTATGTGCAGATGATATGGTATTACTAAAGAGGCACATGATATTTCAACTTATAATTTTCCAAGGGTACGGGATGATTTGGTGTATGTGGGGGAACCACATAAACATACAAAGTAATTAGACCATACCCAGCGTTGCAGCCTTCTACTCGGAGCTCTAGAGCACAAAGCGTTCCCAACACAACTACTCTTTGAATTGCAGGATGTGAAGAGATCTGGTACACTAGTTTGTCATCCCATAACTGCAAGCATTTGGAATGATACCATGGTAAAAAAAAAAAAAAAAAAAAAAAAAAAAAAAAAAATAAAAAAAAAAAAAAAGAAAAAAAAAAAAAAAAAACAAAAACACTGAAAGAACAGCAAGTTCTAACAAAATTTTAAAAGAACAGGTTTCAGAATTTAACTATTTTAGGCTCCAATACCATGTTGAAATATGGAACCAATTAAGCATCATAATGATGTAAAGCCCTTTTTTTTTTTGGTCTCATAATGAATTAAATCTCAGGCTAAACATATTAAGCCACCCCTTTTGCAATTCTTAACAGCTCTCTCTCTCTCTAATCAACTTGAAATTATAGAAATCAATTTATGCCAGGTAATTACGCCCTCACATCTATTATTCAAGTTATACAAGAAAAATGCTGACTGAAAATATATTGAAGGTATTGGATTTGTATGTAGTATTATACAAATGAGACACACACAAGACAATTATAATACACATACCTCGCTAAGTAAGCTTCCTTTGGAAGTGATATTAGGATTTCTCTGAGAATCCTTAAACCATCTTATAGATTTAGCAGCTGCTGTGCACCCGATGGCATGTGCAGAATATGAATGTCCATGCAGAAGGGCCTTTAGCTATAACATTAACAGAAAGTGCTTCTTAGTCTATACATGCATAATACCAACACCAAGAAATGTAAACAAATGCTATACCAGCCCAATTCCCTTTAAAAACATTGCTATACCACATCAATCTGTGTATTCAAATTTGAGCTTAGAGTGAATAATTTAACATATCTTAATAAATGCAAAATCAAATAAGCAATCAAATCAAGTTGTAAAATAAACTTAAGTGTTTCTCATACAACTCAACACACCATAATAAATTACCTTTGAGTCTCCAATAAATGAGTCAAAGACGGCATTGGTAGCCAATGTGGCAGCCAAGGGTACAGTCCCACCAGTCATCAGCTTCCCAAAGCAGGCTATATCTGGAAAACAAGATAGTAGTTCTGCAGCTGACTGTAAAACAAAAGTAACTTCCCAATTAATTAAATAAAAATGTATAATAAAAAATTTGAACAAGAGAATGAAATGAAACCAAGGGTTCCAACCTCTGTTCCTAGACGCCAGAAACCAGTGAAAACCTCATCAAAGATAGTGGGAATATTTTTCTTCCGGCACTCATTCACCAGAACCCGCTGGAAAAGTGGATCAACCATATGCATTCCTCCAGCACCTTGTATAACTGCAGAACAATTCCAAATGAAGAATGGAAAAATTGCTACATTAGTATAAAAGGGAAAGATATAAAGCAAACAGATGTTATATAATCTTTAATTATCAAAAGAAAACTTAGGTTATAAATCTCAGCCTAATCAGAAAGACAAATGCCAAACACACCCATGCAGAGTCTATAGAGTAGCAGAATGCCCATCAAAACGGCTTCAAATATAAGACATCTCAAGTATGAAAAACAAGTGGTGGCCCAGAATAGATGCATCACACCTCACACAAGCAGGTGCAGATTCACTAGATGAAGATCAGGCTTGTGAATTCATAATTAACAATTTTTCATGTTAGGAGTCAAGTAAATTTTCAAGAAGTGTCCAATATAAGAAACTTAATTAAATATATTACCTGATTGATAAAACAAAAACAATCTGATCCAACCAGATATAAAATAAAATTACTGGTATAAGTAATCTTGCCTGGTTCAATAATCAATGCTCCAATGTACCCTTTTGATTCAGGAAACTTTGATAATTGTTCTGATATATATGTTGAATAAATACCAGCAAGATCTGACTTGTCCCTGCTCTTGACAAAAACATCATCACGGGAACCAAAGGCTGTAGAAGTGCCAATGAATGTAAGAATATGGTACCTTAGTAACAGGTCGAAATAGAATAGGTGTGACAAAAGAGATCACTTACTCATATTTTTCAGATTCAAACTCCGAGAATGCAACCCTTCAGGTAGGGAAAGTTTCCACATATTGTTGGACAAAAAAACCATCGGAGGATCGAGAAAAAAACCTCTTCCATTATACCTGCACGTAAAAGTTATAAATCTTGACAAGGCTCAATGACAAAATAGCTTGTTCTCTATTGCTGCTAGATAGCTCTATTCCAAGACAATATTCTGGAATCAAGATACAAATGATCAAGGTAAAGAAATGACATGCAATTCTAAATTGCATTAATGTCCTCATTCTTTACATATGAATGTATAAATGATATTTATAAGTCATGCAAGCAAACAATTGCGAGAGTCAAGACCACTGAAAGAAGTGATTTTCAGTGTGCATATATTTTATATGCTTTCAGCTTAGTACAAGTAGTAGAAAAATGGACAACAAACATAAACATAAAAGGTGAAGTAAGAGGGAGCTTTATTAAGTGAAAAGTTGTTGATACTTGATATTCAAGGAGAAAAAAAAAAAGGCTACTGTGAACTACCCCACCCCCCCTTTGAAGCAAATAATCTAGCATCTTCTATCTATGTCATCAGTAGCCAGCAATATATTCTCTATTGGATGCTGACTTACTCCAAAAGTTGATATATAAGTATACAGATTTGGAATATTTCAAGTATCTTGTGACAGAAAATTCATACCACGGTTGTTGGAGGAAGCCTGTATAAGATGATGGTGCTTGTGCTTCCATAGCACCCAAAGTATCACCATGATAAGATCCTTTAAGAGCCAGGACCTGAAATAAACAACCCCTACGTCAAAAGAATTGAAGATTTAAAGGATCGTTACAATAGACAAGGCAACGACTTGGCCTAACTGGGCAAAAAGTAGCCTAAACAATAATAAATAGAGAAAAAAACAGCAGCTAGAAATGTTAGCTTATCTAAAGTTTTGACCATAATTCTTACCCCATCCACCTCGCATAAACTACTCCAGTACTAGCTAAACATGTACAAGTAAAACAAGGGAGATAGTAAAATTGAATTCAGACCATAATTCTAAAATTGAATCCATATGGTGCCAAATAAAAAACCAGATACTCATGCTCCAATGCTGAAGATACTTAGTTAACGTACAAATGCCAAAATAGCGTGTGCTTTCAGTATCATTTGTCATCTCAACTATTGAGGAATATTTTCCGACAAAATTTCATTTACTCATGGCAATTCAGTTGATCCACAAAAGCCGGAGGCTTAGGAATTTTTTAACCAACAGAACTTTTTCTTTATTGGTTTCAGGGAGCAGAGAAAACTACTTGTTGAATTTCATAATGACAATGATTATGTACAAAAGAAGGAAGTGAAACAGTTTTTCTCTTGTTAATTAAACTAATGGTGATGAAGAATTAATGAGGCCTACCACAAGCTCAGGATATCTCTCAGCTGTATTTTCCTTGAGATGATCTAAAAGAATTCCACGATCATAAGAGAATTTACGGAATGCCATTTTCAATGCAATCTCAATTGCTGTAGATCCATTATCTGAAAAATATGTTCGAGAAGCCCAACCTGCGTCAATTGACATCAGCCACATATAAGCAGATGGTTAAAGACCAAGGAAAAACATTTGAATATATGTGACAAATTTACGATATTTTGAAATACATTACTACCCTTTGGATTCTACATGTACCATAGGTTGCCTTTGGCCTATGGCATCACAGAGTTAGTCAAATACCCAAATAAAAGATTCATTAGCCACGTGTTAAAGCATTGAAAAACTGTAACTAATATAAGTGTGTTTTCAACCACAGAAAGTAGCATACAAGAAAAGTGAATAAAAGGAATACAAGTTACATAATACCAACCTTTTCCAACACCTTCAAGCAAAAGTTCAGCACATTCCAAGGCTGGCTCATAAACATTCTCGGGAAACATTACATGCCCAAATCTTGCAGTTGCATAACCCATATCCCTTGCAAGTTCAGTCTGAAACCACCTAAACAAAAACCACATTAAAAAATTTAGACATTCCATATTGTTCTTTTATATGTCAAATAAATAAAATCATTGACCAAGGGGGCACAACCTGTGCAGGCAAAAAAGATACCTTCCAAAACTAAAAAAAGAAACTAAAAGAATCCAAGAAAAATTGAACAGTGAACTAGGGGAACAGTCCTTGTCTTGACTGTCCATACGGAAGCCAAAAATTAACAGCACAAACTTTGCTCTCAATGAGAGGGTATCAGATCAGCTCAAAAGATTCAACTCCATGCTCTCTACTGAAAAGTCTATAAGCATGCTCATACATTTTGCATAGTCTAAGCATAAAGTGAGTGCATGCATAAAACAACAATGCGAACGGGCAACATTATAAGACATAACATACAGGATACATGAGACCATAGGCATCCATTCAGGAATAACATGACCAAGGAGATTGCAAAATATAAAGATTATAAAGCAGCATTATGGCTTTGCAAACCGTCAATCAATAGATTGAAATCAAGTATCAGAGCAAGCAATTAACAGAAAGATATTTATAAAGATGACCTGTAAAGTAGCATCAGGTCCTTGAGTCCACCAACTGGCACATGCATCAAATTGTTGAGTTATGACATCATCATTCTGAGCCTAAAATTAAATGAAACAAAGTTAGCTAGGCATTCTATGAAACGGTCAACAACAGAATATGTATCACTTGGAAGAAGTGCAAATAAGTTCTTTATACAACTAGAACTACAAAAACAAATGCAGTATAGGGAACCAATACATATTCCTTTCTTTCATTAAACATTTGTTTAAAAGAGAGAGCAAAAAAAATTTCATGACAGAAATGTAGTATTTCTAGAGTCCACTTCTTCCCCATACTACTAGTGAACGGGAAAACATATTTAAAAAAATAGTAGGGTATGCGGTATAAAAACAGTGATCTTCTCAATTTAATGAATGGGGAGTCTGCTTTGAAATCATCCGCCCTGTACCCTCCCTCCACCCCAAGGATCCCATCCCAAATTGCATGAGCAACAGGTCTTACGTGTACTTTTCCGAATGCTTGATTATCATAAAAGATTCCCAACATATCATAGGATTCCCTTAGGTCCAAGATATGAAAGAAACAAATGTTTCCTTGCCTTGGAATAAATAGAATCAAATGGATTGGTACGATCCAACCTATTATCAGAGATCAATCCAAGGATTTATTTACTTCCCCACCTAGCTACTCTAGGTTGGAGGTAGGTCCAGGGGGCATCATTTAATTAGTGAAGCCACATATGCTATCTGGCACAAACCTTGAAGACTGAAAAATTTTCACCGCAGCGTGAATCAATCACTGTAACATCTCCTTCTGATACAAATGTGTGCTGAGTAAATGGCCACCAGAAGACATCTGTGGCCCTCCTTGGCATGTCATGCAATCTCTTGATTCTTTCAGTGTAAGCTGACAGCATTATTTCCATCAATGAATCAAATACATTATGAGCATCATCATACCATTCCATAAGGTCATCTGACAAGTCTTGTGGAATAGGTGGCAGTACAAGCACTGGAACACTAAACAACAAAATGATAACAGTTAGTATAAATAGATTTTGCAGGACTAGAAGGAAATATTAAACACGTCATACAACAAAAGCATAATTATCATATCAGGTCAAAGACAGTGAAATCCAAATACATAAGCAATGTTTACACATATTTGTCCAGATATAGTTACATATAGTATATAACCACTATTAATAAGAGCAATCCAAATTACCTGTTTCGAAAGTATGATGCTAAAGGCACCTCATTTACAAGGCCGTGATCCTCAAATACAACAGCAACAACATCATAACCTCGAATTTTCAAACTTTCATAAGCTGAAATGGTTCCAGAAATACCACCTAACCGTCCATCTCCGACAAGAATAGCTGGTAAACGGAAAGGCCTGCTCACATATACTAACTTCTCACGTTTAGAAATTTGTTTGACTAGTAATAGCAAGAGCAGGGATACTCAAAGAAAGTATTATAAACAACCAAACTACGAATTTGAAGTACCTGTACAAGTCACATTGAAGCGACCCAGAAGGCCCTGGACTGGCAACCCCGCCAGCCGTCTCAACCACGCAAAAAGAGTCCGCTTTCTCCTTCCCAACCCCAATCTGCAAACACCTCTGCAGCATTTTGAGCAAGGCCGAGTCCTCCACCGCCCCGCTTTCCCTCTCAGCCGCCAAGTGCGGGGACACGGGGTCTCCCCACGCGTACATTGTCTTACAAAGCAGCTCCGAAATCGGACCGGTTTCAGAATTGTCCCCAACAACCCTCCTCTCCTCACACCAGTCCAAATCGCGCATGCCCTTGTCGAAATTTTTTGGAGCTTGGGGGGCTGAGATGGAGCTGGCGGCCGAGACCGAGGCCTTGAGGACGTGATTGGAGGCGAGGAGAGAGAGGTGAGGGGAGCGGCGGACAAGAGAGGTGAGCTTGGAGAAGACGAAATGGGAATCGGAGTCGGCGGGGTAGCCGGTTTGGATGGGCTTGAGGTAGAGGAAGGAGCGGCGCCGGTGGCGGGAGAGGAGAGAGGAGGCGGCGAGGCCGGCGGAGACTAGGGTTTTTCCGAGGGAGGTATTGGAGGACCAAATGAGGTAGATGGGGTGAGAGAGAGGGACGGTGAGAGGCGGGGAAGGATTGGTGGCGCCGGCGCCGGCGGTGGTTGAGAGGTGTTTGATGACGTGGCGGTGGTGGAGTTGGTGGCGGGTGGGGCGGAGGAGGAGAGAGGTGAGGGTAAGCATGGTGATGGTGGTGGAATGTGGGGTGTGTGTGGGGTGGAGAAGAGAGAGAGTGTTGGTTGGGGGTTTGCGAGGGTTTAATTAAGGAGGGAAAAGGATGTTGGTGGGAGTTAGATATAAAACGCGTTATTCGTTTCAACCTGAACCTACAGTATTTACCCAAAGGACGCAATAATGCCAAAACAAGGGCCAAAGGGGAAAATAATCAGAATTTTCCTCGATAAATTTGTGCAAACACAATTTCCACGCACATTTTACGCATTTCTTTGAACAACAACAAAAAGAAGAAAAAACTGGAATTGACCATAATCAATTTCGTTTTCCACATGAAATGCAAATTCACAACAAATTTCTCTTCATTAATGGATCTAAAGATGTAGGTGTCGTAGGTAAACTAACACTAAAACTGAAAGTTGTTGGCTCAAAAATTAACAAGTGTCGAATAAAGATTCGGCCAAAAAGCGCCGACATGAAAGCCTTCGCTCAACTAGGAAGAAGACAAGAACCTTGCAAAATGCAAGGGAGGGAAAACCTAGCACAAAGAAGTTTGCTTTTGATTCATGCGAAAGCATGCTTATAGATGTGAAATCAATTGTTTCCTCATATTTGGTAGGTTTAATTGTGGGAAATAGTTGCTTGGCGCATGGGAAAATAATGGGGAAAATGTAACCCTCCTCTCATCTTGGGTTTCATTTTCCTTTCTCATGGGAAACTTTAGGAAAATGAGTTAGCATTAAATGCACATTTTTTATGATCATTTTATCCAAATTAATAGTTTAGATTTACAATATAGCATTAAATGCATTCTTTTTTTTATATTTAATTTCATATGAGTATAATTGCCAAGCTTGAATTGGTGTGTAAGCAGTGGCAGACCTGTGCATGCGCAAGGAGGTGCACCTGCACCTCATGTCGTTGGAAAACTCCATAGAAGCTGCTGAAGTTGCACCTCTGCTCATGCACGGAAAGTGTTCGATGAAATGTGCAAATGAAGGGCTGCTGTGCTGCTGCGCGCTGTGTGCAGCGCGCGACTTCTCTTTTTTTTTAAACTGCCTGGCCAAAACGACGTCGTTTTGGACCAGGCGCTACTTTAAAAAAAATAAAACCTAGCCATTCGTGGGCCATTCGTGGATAAGGGTTTAAATAAAACAAACATGGCCATTCGTGGGCCATTTGTTTATGGTCATGGATAAGCCAATTTAAATAAGGGTTTTTAAAAAAAAGATAAAAGATAAAAAAAGGGGAAACTGCTGGGCATTCGTGGGCTTCTATTCTAAGGGGCTTATATAATTCCTACCTAGGTTTTAATTGAAACTTCTCCTATTCAATTGGGTTTTGGAAATTCCTTATTTAAGTGGGATTGAAAATTCTCTTTATAAAAAACCAATTTAACATCACTCAAAGTGTGTGTGCATCACAAGAGTCATGTGTTTTTTTTTCTTCTTGAGTACGCTAATACAAAGTAAGTCGGATGCATATTTTTTATTTTTTATTTTTTTGTGGAGCTTTTAGCTTTTAAGAATTGCACCTCCGTTGAAAAATTCCTGGATCTGCCGCTGTGTGTAAGTCTTTTCCTTTGTTGATTGGAAATAAGGAGTTCTTTGTTGTTTTGATTGTGCTTGCAAACAATACTTTTGATGTGATACTCGATGTTAATTGGTTACAACTCAATCATGTTGTGATTGATTTTATGAGATGAAAGTATCATTTCATGTTCCACAACAACCAATCTTTCATTATAGATGCATTAAGAATGATGTAGCAATGAGAGTCGGGTTCCTAGCTCTACTTGAGAGTATGGAACATAGGTTTGTGATTCCGGAAGTCCCGAAGGTATGTGAATATGCAGATGTATTCTAGGATATTCCGGGGTTACCTTTAAGGAGGGTAGTGGAGTTTGGTATTGATGTGATTCCAGGTACATCACCTATATCAAAGACACCAACTAAACTAAAAGAGTTGAAGATTTAGATTGAGAAATTAGTTAAGCAAGATTTGAGGTGCACCTGTTTTATTTGTCAAGAAGAAGGATGATACACTTCGGTTATGTGTGGATTATCGATAACTTAATAAGGTGAGAATTAAGAATAAGTATCTATTGTCAAGGATTGATGATTGTTTGATTGACTTAGAGAGGCAACTGTGTTTTCTAAGATTGATTTGAGATAAGGTTATCACTAGTTGCGAGTGAAGGATGAGGATATCCCTAAAACAACATTTAGAACAAGGTATGAGCATTATGAGTTTCTTGTCATGCCCATTGGTTTAGCCAATGCACCTGCTGCTTTCATGGATTTGACATTATGAAAAGGGAAAAGGGGGATGTGAGGCATATGGTGAATGACATAGCGGCTTGGGTGGTGGGGTTGGTAGGGGCGACATAGATATGGGAGGGGAGGGGCAAGTTAAATTGGAGATTGTCCTTAAATTGCTTAAATTGAAAAACATAATAGCAAAAATGATCAAATTGAAACCAAATGAATCTTAATGATAAAAGTGATAAACCATAAGGACCAAAATTGACGTTTGTACCTAAAAAATAAACAAGAAAATGAAAGACATGTTCCAACAAGCTCACACAACTTTTTAATGGGATAACTACAAGCATACTAGGATCAAAGGGAAAACCAGCCCTAATTATAAGGACTAAAATTCTAATTTGACTCTGACCAATTTTTTTCTCTCTTCTAATTTGACCTTTTATTTGTAATTCATTAAAAACAAATATTATTATATTTTTTATCCCACCACAAGAATCAAAGAGATGCAAAAATATAAAATAGAAGTTAAAAAAAAAAACAAAAAAAGGGTTAAGGGAGAGTGATTAGTCCATTAATCATCATCATATTATCAAAAATCTGAAACTGAAACAAAATTAAAAAACAGAGAAAGCGAAAGAGAGAAGAAAAGGAAGAAAAAAAAATGTCCGGTAAAAGAAGAGGCTGGTCAGATTCAGCACCACTACTTGCCCAGCAACATTCACTGCAAAAATCTCAACATCCATATCAACCTCGTTCAGTCTCTCTCGAGATGACCACCTCCGCCGTCCCAGCCACCGCCCGCTCCGTCTTCCTCGGCATCGACGTCGGCACCGGCAGCGCCCGCGCAGGTTCCCTCTCTCCTCCTCTTTCCCTCCATTTTATCTAACGCAGAAAATAAGAAATTCGAATATATTTGTTGTTGGCAATGACATATTTAATTGAAGTTATATCAGATAGGAAGAAGCTTTTGACAACTATAATTGTATCGATTTAGCGGCGAATTTTGCTTCGGCAGTAATTGTTGTTGGGTTGTGTGAAGTCCTGAATCTAAATTGGTGATGGATGCAGGGCTGTTTGATGAAAATGGGAAGCTTCTGGGTTCTTCGAGCAGCCCGATACAGATTTGGAAAGACGGTGATTGCGTTGAGGTAAGGCTTGAAAAGAGGTGAATTTGATCACTACATGGTATATTGGAAACTAAATAGACACATAATAGTGCTTTCGCTATAGCTAGTCTATGTAGAGGGCATTGCAAGTGTCAGGGAAAGCAAAATGATTGCTTCTAACTTTTTATTTCCTCCCCGAATTAGCAATCTTCTACAGATATTTGGCATGCGATAAGTGCAGCTGTGAAAGCAGCGTGCTCCCTCGCAGAAGTTTCCAAGGAAGAAGTGAAGGGTATGGGGTTTGCGGCTACTTGTTCGCTTGGTGGGTAACTTTCTGCTTATGTTTTAACATGATGTTCGGTTACTTAAGCTGCTTGAGTGCTTATTATATGTTATGCACTATAGAAAAGACGGAAACTATGTACAATCATTAATCAGGACCAGATGGTTTTCCTTTGCAGTTGCAGTGGACGCCGAAGGCTCTCCTGTTACGGTTTCTTGGAGTGGCGATTCAAGAAGGAACATAATAGTATGGATGGACCATAGAGCTGTAGAACAAGCTGAAAGGATCAATTCACGTAACTCAACTGTATTGCAGTACTGTGGTGGAGCTCTTTCCCCTGAGATGCAGCCTCCAAAGGTACTTACACAGCTAGTCCGGTCATAGCATAGTATTCTGTGTTACACAGTTATACGATTCCTTAATGAGTTATTTCTTTAACCATATTCCACTTTCACTGCCACTATCTTACATCATAGGTGCCTCAATCATATTCACGTGTATCAAAAATCTATATAGGAGGGCTATAGAGTTATAGACGTACCTTTACAGATTAGTAGTGAACATACTAGTTTATTTTATTTCCTTTTGCACATGAACTTTTGTACTAAATTATTTATTTATTTTTTCTATGGGTTCTTTTTTCTGTCAAATTAAGGCTTTCTTTTGCAGCTTCTATGGGTGAAAGAAAATCTGCCCGACTCTTGGTCAATGGTCTTCAGGTGGATGGACTTGAGTGATTGGTTATCATACAGGTACTTGGATCTGCCAGCCAGTCATTTGATATGTGAACCTTTTCAAAACTCCAGGCGGTGCTAATCAAGTTTGACGTGAATTTATTGATAAATCTTATATTTTTGCACAACTTTAGGGCCACAGGAGATGATACACGGAGTCTGTGTACCACAGTCTGCAAGTGGACATATCTTGGTCATGCACACATGCATCAAAACAATGAGAAAGATTCTCGAGATATGGAAGCTTGTGGATGGGATGATGATTTCTGGGAGGAGATTGGATTGAGTGATCTTGTAGATGGGCATCATGCTAAGATAGGTAAATGCTTGTAGATCTAAGTTCTCTATATATGTATATCTACTCAACTATGTCTTTATCTGAAAATAGTTTTAGTCTGCTTAAACATACAAGTCAAATTGAGTATTTAATTTCTTGTGCTACCATTTGGGACTTTTGGCTTCAGTTAGTAACTTGAGATGAAAACAGGACGAAGTGTAGCCTTCCCTGGCCATCCTCTGGGTTCTGGTCTCACATCAACTGCTGCGAAGGCAAGATATTTTGTACTGAAGATTTCACATTGATTTCAAGTGGCGCTCCCTTGAGGTCCATTAACTAAGCATACAATTTTAGTTGCTAGAATATGAGCACTTACCCTTTTTGGTGGGCTTTGGAGGGTGATTCACCATGATAATTTTTTGACAGCTATTCTGTGGTTAGTTTTTTAATACTTGAAGTAATTTGAATTTCAGGAATTAGGTCTTGTAGCAGGGATTCCTGTTGGAACGTCCCTAATTGATGCTCATGCCGGTGGTGTGGGGGTAATGGAAAGTGTGCCTTTGTCTGATTCTGAGCCTAAAGGTTGACAAGGCCTATTTGTTTTCCTTATAGTTGTTCTAATTTAGTTTCTTTGCCTAAAGGTGATGCATTCTTCTAAATAACTGCTATATGTTCAGAGTCTGATAAGGAAGCTCTATGCCGTCGTATGGTGTTAGTCTGTGGAACTTCTACTTGCCATATGGCCATATCACAGAACAAGCTTTTTATTCCAGGGGTCTGGGGTCCATACTGGTCAGGTATGGAAATTTATAGATCTTTTTCTGTGTGAGTTTAATATCAATTCTATCATGTGATTGCTACATTTTTTAACACCCAAAACCTTCTATCCTTATGGGGAGAATTTTTCAGTTGTTTTGTCATTGTAAATGGCACACTTACTTTAATTACTCTTTTTCTCTTCAACATTTTCAGCTATGGTACCCGAACATTGGCTCACAGAAGGTGGCCAGAGTGCTACTGGTGCATTATTGGATTACATAGTAGAAAACCATGTCGCTTCTCCTCATCTTGCAAATCGTGCTGCTTCTCAACGTGAGATCCATTGCTCAACTTTTTTATGCCAATAGCTGCTATAAATGAGTTGAATGCCATTCATGGGAAAATTAAGCTACTGTCTCTGTCTCTCCCTAGGTATTTCTTTGTTTGAACTTCTGAACAAGATATTGGAAACAATGATGCTTGATCTGAAGCGTCCATTCCTTGCTTCTTTGACTGAAGATATGCATGTTCTTCCTGATTTTCACGGGAACAGGTATATCTTTATACGTTGAAATCTTGATTTCACTTTTCGTAGTGTGACACATTTCTGCTGAAAGTTAAGCTGCTATGTTTGTGATGGCCCAGGTCGCCAATTGCAGACCCAAAAGCAAAAGGTATGTTGTGTGGCCTAACACTTGATACAAGTGAGAAGCAGTTGGCTCTTCAGTACCTTGCCACAGTACAAGGTATTGCATATGGTACGCGTCACATTGTAGAGCACTGCAATGCCCATGGTCACGAAGTAAGAATGCATGCTTCTCAATTCTCTTATTTTGTATGCATCACTTTTAAATAGATAAGTTCAGAAAAGGGCTTTTCTTATTAAACTTATAATATTCTTTAATGTAATTACAGTCTTCCCCTCATTCAGAAGTATCACTTTAACTCGTCTTGAACCCATAGTGTATGTTACTTTCATAACTAATGGTAATCTTATTTTACATACGCATCCAATTTTCCCTTAATTTGTTTTTTAAAATTGTAATTAATCATATAATGAAGGATATGATTTATATAATTTTGACTTTGAACTATTTATTTATGACATGTAATATTTATAGGTTGTCGTATAAAAGAGAAAGTTATTAGAATATATTTCAAACGGAGTACCTGAAATGGCCTCAATGCTTTAGAGAGCTGCCTTGGAGAAAGGGATCACATACCTATGACTATTTGTAACTGGTATGCTTGGTAATATGAAAGTAGACATCAATTGCGCTAATAAAAACTCTAGAAGTGATGGTGTTTTGGTGTCTATCGAGAATAAAGTTTGGTTGGTGATACCTTAGCTTCCAGTAGGCTCTCTCTTGATTTGTGCTGTACCAGTTTGGACGTCAGCCTGCCATGGTACCAAACTCAAAAACAGAAAGGAGCCATGCAAATGTTACTAGAGAAAGGGAAATGATAGAACTTCTCGAAGTGTAATGGAGTGGAGGCTACGAATTTAAAAGAGTAGTCATTGAACTCTGAAATAACCTAAAACCTGTAACCTTTTTTGAGTATCCGTTTCTTCCTTTGCAGATTGACACAATACTAGCATGTGGAGGCCTTGTTAAGAATGCGCTATTCATTCAAGAACATGCAGATATAATCGGTTCTCTCTCTCTCTCTCTCTCTAACATACACATCAGCTGCCCCTCCTTTATGTTTGTAACATGCTTTTTATTTGTCTTTACATTGTTCTTTTATAAAAAAAACTTTTTTCTTCAGAATGAACTTTTATTATCATCATTTTAAGATTTATTGTATCATGCTTCTCTTTTATTTGAACTGGCTCTGTATGCTAAAGATTTTACGAAAAAAAAATGAATATATGGTTGATGTATCTACTGTGGATGTGGTTTGGCCAAATGAAACTTAATGATAATAATTATCCTTTTAATACACAAGTCAAAGCCTTTGTTTAAGCATGTACATAAACCTTGGACCTACTGTCTGTGATGCATTCAGGTTGCCCTATAATTCTTCCACGAGAAAGTGAGCCTGTGCTCTTGGGTGCTGCCATTCTTGGTGCTGTTGCTGTAAGGAAATATTGTAGTCTGCATGAGGCAATGAAGGCCCTAAATGCAGCGGGTCAGGTACTAATAATGGTTTTTTGAAATCATTTTATTAATTTATAGAGAGTTTTTTCACTGTGGGACAATATTAGGTCTGAATTGAAACCTCGCAACATTTTCCAAGGCAGAGCTTGCAGCTAGTTGTTTCCGTGCCTACTCTGAGGCATAGGGCTAAGTGTGGTTCTTTTTCTTTGCTTTTCGTTTTTTCTTCTGAAATTTCCAAGGTTTTGATACACAGGGTACAAAAACCCCTAGATTAGTTCATCATTTAGGAATGTTTGCCAAGGTTTAGTATAAGGGTTTATATTGGAAAAATAATTAACGAAAAGTAGTAGGTTTTTGAGTCACAAAGATTGAACTGGTCTTGGAGGTGCCAATGGTGGTTACCCTATCACCAATCATTCATATATTATTATTATTATTATTATTAATTTTTCGACGTGGACTTTATGCATTATATATATATTTTTTCCTGCATGTGGTAGGTCATCCATCCATCCAAAGACCCTAAGGTGAAGAAGTACCATGATGCCAAGTACCGCATTTTCCGTGAACTTTATGAGCAGCAGCTATCTCATCGTTCGCTAATGGCTGAAGCCTTGGCGTAGGTTCTTTGTGTCAAACTGGTGGCAGTAGGATGGTCCTCTGGCTCAATTGCTTCATTTCTGTCTCTGGGGGCCCTCTGTATCAGAAGCGAAGACTGCTTGGCCTTTGTGAAGTTACATGTTTGAACAAAACATATTTTTTTATGTAAAGCAATGACTTGAGCAACTCATTAAGGAAGTTTTTCAAAAGCCAAAGGAATGTACAGGTGAAGCAGGGCCCAAAAATTGAAAATTAGTACAGAAAGAATATGTATAGGCTCATTTTGCCAAGTTGTTTCTCACTTTGTCGTTCATATTTGAAATAATAATACGACAGCCATTTACTTTCACAAAGTGCTTTGTGCCTTATATAATCCATAATAACCTGTTGATGTTAATCAATTGTCGATAGCAAAATTCCAACAAGATTTTTTTTGGACATTGATTCCAACATTTATTTAACATAATAACCTTTACATCGAGTCGACGACCACCATAATTAACATAATTAAGTCTCTTAGCTTTAAAAGAAAATTATTTTTTAATATTTAAAACAAGCAGATCTGTACAATTTGAAGCAAACTTAGCAGCTCATTAAACAGTTCCACAAAGCATAAATTGTAATGTATAAGTTTTGGCCTAGGACAAAGTTTTACATTTTGATTACATGTGTTATTCTGGTTGATGGGATCTTCAACTTACTGCAGTGCTTTTTTAAATTAAAAATAAAATATTTCCACATATTCGGATGGAACAACATACAAAAATGACTCCTGCCTGTCTTACAAAACCAATATGATGATACATCGTAATTTTGGAGAACTTATCTAATTGCAAGCAAAAAAAAGAGTGTGGAAATTGATTTAAAGAGATTTCCAAATACTCCATCGAAAAAAGAGAGACTTCCAATATCACATTTTCCTTGTAGGGTTAAGGTCAAGGAATTGCAACAGATCGATCTCAATGTCGTGAGGCACCCAATGTAATACTCCTTTCCTCATCCCTATGAACGAAAAAAAAAAACAAAAAAAAAAAAAAAAAAAAAAAAAAAGGAGGGAGAAAAAATAAAAAAAATAATTTTTTTTTGGCTGGACTAGAATTGCTCGTTAGCACCTTCAGCTTAATAGAGATTAGCTGAAAATCGATACCAATGTTGAGATTGGCAGAGCTATAAATAGGTTGAGTCATGTGGAGACTGGCAAGGTGAGCAAAACTGCAGGCGGATACCTGATTTGGTTGATTTTGAGTTATCTGGATGCTATCTAGACAATTTTAAGACACTAAGATGTCTTTGAAAAGTTTTGTTGAGGTTTTCAAATGATGAAATACCTGACTTCTTCTTGATCTATTTAATTTTCTGAACCAAATTTGTAAGAGAAGTTAATCTCTTTTGAATTTTGTCTGATTTACCATATCTGGATTGCGATGGAAATCTTGATTTTTCTTGGTGTTCTGGACTTCTTCTTGAGTTGGATTGCTTCTTAAGGAAGATTGCTTGCTTGCTTTTGGTAGTCGTAAGATCGTGTGATCTCTGATTTCTTTTGATCAATTGAGATTGATTGTTGAGTTTTCGTTCGCTTGATTGGTTGGTTGGTTGGGTGTCTTCTTTCCGGTCTAGGCATTCTTGTATTTATAGGAGAAAATGTGATGATTGAATAATACTAGATATTTCCAATTTTTGGACTAATCTTTCATTAATGCACAAGTGGAAAAAGTTCTGTCAGATAATGCATTGATCATTTTTTGTCATCTGCTCATCAATTTTTCAGAATGCCTCTTGATCGTTCCTTTTGCAAAACATTGAACTGAAGTGATCAATAATTCCTAGATTCTTCCAAAGTTGGTACCGTAAATATCCAAATATCAAGGTAGTAGAAAAAAAATCCGGCGATTTACAATAAATAGCCGTGACTTTTAACTAAAGCAAGCATGACTTTACTTTCTTCTTTTTTTTTTTTTTTTTTTTTTTTTTTTTTTTTTTTTATTCAAGCATAAGAAGCCCCAAAGAAAAAGGCCCATATAGAGAAAATAAAGCTGACCATGCAAGGAACAGACAATGCATGGAGAGTCAAAATAAAGCAAACAATACATTTAAACTGATCAAGAAAGAAACGCCAGGATAGACAATCCAACCACAAGGATGTCAAAACGATTCAAGACCAGTCAAAAGCCAAATTAAGCATGGTGAGGACAGGGGAGTCCATCCTTGCAAAGAATGTGCACAAGAGAGGTGGGGAGTCGTTCAAACCAAACTTTAGTACTTTCCAGCTTTTCAGGTAATCAATTTCTTTGGAATTTAGTCACCAACAGTGAGGATTTAACCTGACAAACTTTAACAGCTAAGAAACTGTGCATTTTGGCCATATTGGGTCCTTTGCACAAATAACAGAGTTAAAATGGGGTTAAGTGGGATGTCAGGTGCCAAAAAATTAAGGCATGAATAGGGAGGGATAGACAAAAACATGGACAAAGAATCTGAAGCCATAGAATACCCTTAGATATTTAAACTTCTTTAAAATTCATTAAAAACCCAATTGAATACAAAGCTGGTTAAATATGCCAATTCCACCCAATCTGATTTTTGGGTTGTTGGCTAGATAATGGTTGGAATTTTTTTCTTGTGTTTAAATTTAAAAAAAGGTATGTTGTGAGTATAATGCTAAAAAGACCACATTTTTGTATCACATTTGAATACCGTATTATGTGGCAAGTGATGCATACAACCAACATCCAATGTGGCCCTCTAATTTTCTTTGTAACTAGCCTCTCTGCATGCTGCGTCTGCAAGAGGTTTTTTTTTAAAAATTTTTAAAATTATTTTAGAATTAAAAAAGATAATGGATAGTTGTGTTCCATAAAAATAGGACCCATTATCTGATTTTTCTTTTAATATGAAAAAATGTAAATTTACCATATTATCATCATTTAATTAATAATTTCAAGTTCTTAATGTTTGCATTAATCAAGGGTATTTTATGGTATTTTGAATGTTTCAACATTCTCTGCCTTTCGCTTTGTATATATAGATTAAAAAATTCATTGATAAGGCCTAGCCCAACCCAGTTTGGTCAAGCTCAAATAATCCGGCCCGTGTGGGCTGGATTTGGCCGAAGTAATGAAACCCATGCCTAACACAGCTTAGTATGAAAGAATGCATAAGCCCTAAAAGCCCAACCCAAACCTAGCCTGAGCCCTAAAAACCCAGCCCAAATCTAGCCTAAGCCCTATGCGGCATCACACCATTTTTTTTGGGTCTTAGGCCCCGTTTGGGATTGCTTTTTTTTGGCCAAAAACCTGCTTCATTTTAAAGTTAAGCAGTTTTAGGTGTTTGGTAAAAATAAAATATCTCGATTATTTTAAAAGCAGTGGCCTTTTGACAGCAGCTTTTAAAAGCAGGCTATGCTTTGCTTTTCAAAGCTGCTTTCAAAAGAAGCAGAGATGAACCTTTAATGAATTTTTTTAATTCCCAAAATACCATCATTTATTTTAAAAAATAACACCATCTCCACTTCCACATCCAACTCCACCACTTACACAACCACATTCACTACCTCCACAACCACCGCCATCGCCACCGCCACCACCACCACCACCTCCTCCTCCACCACCACTAACTCCACCACCACCACCACCACCACCAACTCCACCTTCACTTCCACCTCCACCACAACCACCACCACCAACTCCACCTTCACCTCCACCACCACCATCACCACCACCACAACCACCACCTCCTTCAAAACCTCCACATCCACCACCACCTCCACAACCACCACCACCATGTTGTCATCACCACCACCTCCACAAGCGCCATCCCTACCACCACCACCTCCATTCTATCACTACCACTACTACCACATGATTACTACATAGCACTTTTAACATCATGTCTATTTTAGTCATTATTCACAGTTACAACAATTTTATATTAAAACTTACCAAACGATTTTGACACTGCTTTTTGTACTAACAGCACTTTAAAAATATTGTTTACCAAACACGGAGCTGCTTTACTTTACAACTAATTATTTTCAAAGCACAGGAGAAGTAATTTTTTTTAAAAGTGACAGCAATCCCAAACTGGGCCTTAGTACAATTGCTTCTTATTGAAGCAATCCCAAATGAGTACAAAGTTTAAAGAATTTAACATAAAATAAGAACAATAATCTAACTTGTTAAGGGTGCAAAGAAAATAGAAAAAAGGCAAGGATTTTCAATTAGTTGGTAACTTTTGATTTCTCATAACTTATTTAATGCGAGGAATACATAATTTATATTTTTTACCTTCTTGTATAAAAATCTTTTTCTTATCAGTAGTATGATATTATATCAATTGGGTAATCGTACAAAAATCTTTTGGGTTGTGAATGAAATTCCCTTTTTTCTCAAAGAAACAAACAAATACTTCACTTCCATGATATAAAAATCTTTTTACATCAATGGATGGGAACATTTGAAATGTAGAAGATTTTTCTTTACAATATTAGAAATTTAAAAAGCCTTTCGTTGGTTTAATCCAGTTAAAAAAGTCTTTAAATTGCAGAATAATGGTCTCATATTCGGATCTCATGACAGGTTGATAATGTATGTGAAAAATCTTCCTTAAGTTATAGTTTTGAGCGTGGATTGTACTAAAAGAGAACAGCCATTTAAAACTAAAAAATAAAAATCACAACGCAATGAGGAAGGGAAAAATCAACGTCGCAGGTTGCAGCGCACGTGATGTAGGCTCAACTCAAGGCATATCCCAAATTCCTGAGGAGATAAATAAGATGCTAGAGGAGGACGCGAAAATCAGGTGGTGCCACGTGGCACGCTACCTGGCAAGCAGGCATCGCATCTTGGAATCACGCGACCCAAAGCCAAGCGAACCAAGCCACTACGCCTATGGCGGTCCTTCATCTTCACCTTCATCTCCTTCCCCTTTCATCATCACCATCATCTTCTTCACCTCATTCACAGAGCCTAAATTACTCTTACTTTCCACGCCTCTCCAACTCTCTTTGCTCTGCTTGATCGTAGGCTCGCAACTAAGGCAGAGGGGGCTGAAGACGCGTCTAAGTGGCACAGAAGATTCCTTGGGGCTCTGTTTTCAATTGGGTATTGAGTTTTAGCATCTGGGATTGCCCAGTTTCCCCATTTTCAGGTACCCAATTCTTGTTTCTGTGGGAAATTGTTGATCTGGGTATTCAGTTTGGATCTAGTTTGATAAAGTTTGGGACTTTTGGGGTGTGGTGGTGTGATTTTGATTGGCTGTTGGATGAAATTTGGTTGTTTTGATCTTATTTTTTTGGTTTTGGCGATTGTTGCGATGGTGGCCGTGATTGGTGTTCGGAAATATGATGGTTTTGTGTGGTTTTGATGGAGTTGTTATAAATGGAGGATTTCTCAATTTCGGTTAGTGAAGTTGAAGAACATGCTTATAATTATCGGCTCAAATCTTCAAAATTTGAAATATATATGGTGTGAGTGTTACTCATGTGTAATAAAGGAATTGCGTGCTTGAGCGAGTCTGAGAACCCAATTGATCAGCAACACCCTAATCAAGCTGTGTACTTGATGGATAGCCCTTCCGCTACCCCTCACTTTGGTTCTAATTCCACCGCTGTTTCGAGCCCTAATTGGAATGAGGAGAGCCCACGTGTTAAATTTCTATGTAGCTTTTCGGGTAGTATATTGCCTCGCCCACAAGATGGGAAGCTCCGGTATGTGGGTGGAGAGACACGAATTGTGAGTGTTCCACGAGATATTCAGTATGAGGAGTTGATGAACAAGATGAGGGACCTTTATGAAGGGGCAGCAGTGCTCAAGTACCAGCAACCTGATGAAGATCTTGACGCACTTGTATCGGTTGTGAACGATGATGATGTGACTAATATGATGGAAGAGTATGATAAGCTGGGCTCTGGTGATGGTTTCACTAGGCTCAGGATTTTTCTGTTTTCGCATCCGGACCAAGATGGGTCTTCACACTATGAGGGAGATGAAAGGGATAATGAGAGGAGGTATGTCGATGCTCTCAATAATTTAAATGATGGTTCCGACTTTAGGAAGCAGCATCCTGAGTCCCCTTTTATTAATCCAGTTGATGATATCCATATAGCTGAACAGTTTTTTAGCCCAATAAGTCTCGAGGGTGGCCTTCAGAGAAGTTGTGATATGTCCGCACCTCAATATAACTTGCATCACCTCAAGATACCTCATATAGGATCAGGGCAACACCATCAACCGATTACTCAGAGGTATAACGAAATGGAAGCTCCTTGGAGTCCTGCATACTATTCTCCTAGGCATCATGGGCATCTTGATCCAAGACCAATGCCAGAATTTCCATCTTCTCCTTCCTCTGCACGGTACCGTATTCCATATCCAGATTTACCTGAAAAATGTTTAGATAGAATGCCTGAAGAATATGCACGACAGCCATTGAATCATCAGCCTGCATATGAACACCAAACACAATATACTGAGAATGTTGTGTGGCTTCCAAGTGGAGCTATATCTGGTGAAAAGTCTGGCTTTCCTGGTAACATCTTTCATGGAACCAATGTTCTCGAAGGAAACAGTATTTGTGAGCATTGCCGGATGAATTTCCAGAGAAACCAACCACATTTTGAGCAATCCAACATGGTGAATGGAATTCACCAGGTTGCGAACCCAAGCAATGAGTGTCCTCCACATAGAGAAAGTTTCATAATGAATTCAGATGCAAAGTTGCACCATGAGATACACGCAAGTGAACAGAATAATGGTCCTCCATCTCTTTATAATGAGACTCCAAATCATGAAAGAGGATGGATTCCACATCATCATTTGAATTGTCGGACTGAGGAAGCAAGACCACATGTCTGTGGAGCTGGGAAATTGAATGATCACTACATTGTAGATGGTCCCAGCATGAATTTGCCTCTTAGTCCTGGTAATATGGTTGATGGCCATCATGTCTCTTCAAATTATGTTCATCAGCGAGTTGGACCTGAAATTGGAAATGAAGTGTTTCATGACCGACCTGTGCCTGCTCCACCCCATGTACACGTTGCTCCTCCAGAAGAGCGTGGGGTTCGTTATGGGAATCCTCCTTATGCCTATGGAGGAGATAGTCCTTACCCGGTGTCTCATGGACATGTACCTGGACCTGCAGTATGGAGAAATGTTCAGAGCCCAATGCATGCCGCGCCCTCTTACGAAGCGTCCAATTCTGCTCCACAAGTGAATGGTACTGTTAACCCAGGATTTCTCAGGCATGAGGATAGTCCAAGGTTTGGCCTTACAGTAGACAATCAAAATATTTGGGCTGACTCCTCGCAGCAAATGTTAGGTTTCGATGGAAAAGTTGTTCCGGACTATTCGTATGGCCACACTTTGAAGTTTAATCCAAACACACTTGGTCAGGAAAATCATCCTCCATTTCCTTCAGACCCTACTCAACCCACACCTGATATGCTAAATTGTGCTATTCCTTTAGACCCCGTTACTGGAGTTGTGAGGTTGGAGGGAGAAAGTTTGCCTGGAGAAGAAAAGGAGGTAAATCTTGTGGAGAAGCTAGAGAACTCTGACATGCAGGGTATAAGTCAGAACAAATTTTCCGATAAAAATTATGAAATGGTATCTCCTGAGTTGATAAATTCAAATTTCCCTAAGCTTACTGAAGTAAGTGGTGATGTTGTCAAAACTAGTGACAATGATCATTCTACTCCTGAAGTTCCAAAGCTTTCTGTTAGCCATTTGAGTTTCATACCTGAGTTGATGGCTTCTGTAAAAAGAGCTGCATTAGAGGAGGCTAAGGAGGTGAAAGCCAATGTTAAAGAAAGTGGAGATCCTGAGAAGGATAGTTCAATAGCCGAAGAAGCAGCTGCAAACAATTTGGAGCGAGTGGTGAGAACTGAGTTAAATATCTAAAATGAGAAATTGTTCTGTAGTTATCTGTTTTCTCTTCTTAATGCACTGTTGTGTTATAGAACACTCCTGGAGATGGGGAATTGGATTCTGATAACGATTATCTGAACAATTCCAAAATTGAGCCAACGAAGGCTGAGGCAGAAGCTATTTCCAAGGGATTGCAGGTCTGTTTGCTTCAATCTTATGTATTTCTTAAATCCTACAGTCATCATTGGCTTATCCTCATTATTTCCCATACTATTTGTCTTGGTCTTTCGTGTGGTTTTCTTTAAACTGTATGATTGTTCTTTGGACAGACAATAAAGAATGATGATCTAGAGGAGATTCGAGAATTGGGTTCTGGAACTTATGGGGCTGTTTTTCATGGGAAGTGGAAGGGGTCTGACGTAGCGATAAAGAGAATAAAATCCAGCTGTTTTGCTGGGAGACCATCAGAAAGAGAACGCTTGGTAGGATCTAGCACTCTTCCAATCTAGATTATTACAGTTGCTATTGACCTATTACAGAACACTGCCTTGCTTCCCCAGTTTGTGGTTTGTTGATATATTGTTAGTTCTGACATTTTAGATGATATTCTGGTTCCTGCAAATTAGTGCCCCAGAGAGAAAAAAAACAGTGACTGCATGATAGGTGTAGTCATCATGGTTATTACATATTATTCACTTTTTAGAACTTCTGTCATTGAAATGAAATTGTCCGGAGAGAAATTATACTTCCGGAAATAATATTTAATTCTGTGTATTATTATTATCTGTTGCTATGAATACAAGGTTTTCTTTGTTGCTGTGACAGATTGCAGATTTCTGGAAGGAGGCTTTGATACTTGGTTCATTGCATCACCCAAATGTTGTTTCTTTCTATGGTATTGTGCGTGACGGTCCTGATGGGTCATTAGCAACAGTGACTGAATTCATGGTTAATGGATCTTTGAAACAGTTTTTGCAGAAAAAAGACAGGTATCTAGTGTATTTTCTAGGAAGCAACATTTCTAATTTGTTCTATTGTTCTCTTCTCAATTTCTATATTTGAAGGTCTCATTCTTCACTCAATCATATGATAAATCTTTTCATTATATCATTGATCAGAACAATTGATCGTCGTAAAAGATTGATCATTGCTATGGATGCTGCATTTGGAATGGAGTATCTGCACGGGAGAAATATAGTACATTTTGACTTAAAGTGTGAAAATCTTTTAGTAAATATGAGAGATCCACAGCGGCCTGTATGTAAGGTTGGCTGATTTAAATACAGATCTGTCACCTCCTCTCGACTCTTAGTTTCCAGCTCCATTACTCTTTTTCTAAGCATGCTTTGTGTTGGGAACTCACATTATGTGCATGTTCTTTAGATTGGCGATTTGGGATTATCGAAAGTAAAACAACACACTTTAGTGTCTGGAGGTGTTCGTGGAACTTTGCCTTGGATGGCACCTGAACTTCTTAGTGGGAAAAGTAACATGGTAACAGAAAAGGCAAGTGATGCTACACTTGGCACATATGTAGAAGTTTTTGGTCTTCTCAGAAGAATGATTAGTATATTAGTCTTTAGTTTGTTATTTCATGTGTTGTCATTTTCAATGTTGTAGATTGATGTTTACTCATTTGGAATTGTTATGTGGGAACTGCTTACGGGGGATGAGCCATATACGGATATGCATTGTGCTTCTATAATTGGTAAGAACCAATCATTTGTAGGCTTAAATTCTGCTTATTTTACCATAATATGATTCCCTCCATTTTGTTCAAAAGGTGAGGTCACTGTCATCATTTATTTAATAAAACAACATCAATCTCCGAGAAGTTACTTATAACCTTAGCTACAGCAGATAATCTGTGTTTAATGCTAGCTCATATGGGATCGCATTTTGATTCATATCTTCTAGCTGAATTCTGTTTTTGACTCACTTCATATATACAACTGCTTGACACTACGAAGTAGATTTCCATTTGTTGCTGGACTTTTCAGTCATTGCTTTTGGGTTACAATAATTGAAGAATGTTGATTTGTTCTTAAAGATTGCTCTGTAGTTTTTAAGACTATTTACTTACCCTTGGCATTTATAAAATATTTCAGCTGGTTTGACACTCTTAACCTTATTTACCAACTATATTCTTTGCAATTTGTTTTCATGTTTTGTTTCTCTGACCTGGTAGTAATATAATCTCAGACTTGTAGTCACTATTATATTTTCTTTCCACTGTCCATTTTGATACGTTATACATTGCTGTTGTAACAAGTTTAACACTACACGGATTAACATGTAAACTCTAAATTGTATGTGTATATGCTTAGGAGGAAAAAGAAAGCTGTCCTTATCCTTTTCTATTGGCAATTTTGCATTGTTTGACTACAGTCATCTTGCTGACTCCATCCAGACATTAGTCCATGATTTATTATGTGACAACATCTCTTACAAAGTCCTGTTGGCATGCTTAAGATTTGTAATTAAATTGCTTGCATGCTTTCAATCAGCCTATTTTTCTAGGCATTCATTATCGTATGTCATCCACAATTTGAACCATTCCAGCCAAGTATACACAATATTTAATTTTGTTCTGCAATCTGTTTCTTTGTCGTATTTGCAGGAGGAATTGTGAACAACACATTGCGTCCTCAAATTCCCACTTGGTGTGATCCTGAATGGAAATCTTTGATGGAAAGTTGTTGGGCCTCTGAGCCTTCTCAGAGGCCATCATTTTCTGAAATCTCTCAGAAGCTAAGGAATATGGCTGCTGCAATGAATGTGAAATAATTCCAGTCTTGTGCAGTTGATTCACTTCTTGCATTGTATGTTAGCCAGGACTTAGCCAAAGAGGAAAATAAATTGAAGCATAGATTTTGCAGTGTAAGGCCACCGCTGGTTTAAAAGTATATTAAGGCTAATAGTGTAATATTATGCCTTGGTTCATATTTAAGGTACCCTTTGTATACTGCTGTGAAATGGTAATGCTCTTTGAGAAGTGCCGGATAATGCACTTTAGAGTGGCTTTTGCCTGGAAGGGGCTTCATCATACACCAACCGGAGCCATGATGGCACGACCAGAATGTTTGTTTTGTTTTTTTTTTTTTTTTTTTTTTTTTTTTTCTACTTGTATTGCTATCTACTGTTGTTGTGACACTGTATTGCTTTGGCTGTCTTTTACAGGTTTTAGTAATTTGGTTGAGATCACAACGGTACTGAGATCGAAGCTGAACCAAGGTCTCGTTTGAAGGGCATGTATATAAATTAATTGTTATTAAAGCTATATCATGAGAGGATAATGATGCATTATACTTACAAATTTTACACAATTGAACCTATTTCGTTATTCGTTATTTTATTTTATTTGGGCCTCTGCTGGGTATGTTAGCCAGGAACATCTGTTTATATGTCAGGCTTATGCTTTGGCTCTTAGAATGTGAAAAGCATATGAGTATTTGTAAGAACCTCTTTACATCATTAAAGTCTGGCTTTAGTGTATTTGATGTAGAAACTATAAAAGCATAGATGTATAAAGTATCTGAATATTTGATCGAATTTGTACACCGGACTATCAAACATTTTGTTTGACATGAATAGTGGCAAATACTGGACAATTTAGGCAATCTACGTTTGCATTGACCTTTGAAATTTAAATGGCTTAAGGTGTTTGAGGTGTTTTGGCAATAATGTTTTCAAATAGCCATCTATTGCTCGGTGACAGACTTCTAATTTACAGCATAAAAGGCTAGAAATCTCAATGGTCAATACCACCAGTCAAAAACAGACAATAATGCAGTTACCTCGTGGCATTTGACAGTAGGGAAACTAAAGACCTACCTCCGGTTTCTGCTGATAAATTTGGATTGTAGTTCACTGCAAAGGTGTTGAGCTAATTGCCAAAAGTGGAGGACCACATCCTATCCTATCATCAATTTGAATCTTTTTGGCAACATACAGACTACTCAGGGGATTTAGTCCAGTGGTAGGATGCTCGCTTAGGGAGCGAAAGGTCCCGAGTTCAATTCTCGGAATCCCCATTTCTCCGAGTTCAATTCTCGGAATCACCATTTCCTTTTTATGATCTTTGCAGTAGTGAAAAAACTGCAAAATGTTAAATGTAAATATGCCAAAATATAAGAGCCAGGCACATGTCATATTGTTAAAATGGTTAGGCCATCTCCAATCCTAGAGGACTCAAGCCCAAATTTTTCCATATCAAAATACTACTATTCAAGTATTGCCCGGACTCAAACTTATTTTTCCCCAAACTCTGCAAACTCAAAATTTGAATTTGCAACTTTATTAAATTGTTTAAAACAGTTTTTTTTTTGGGGGTTAATTTTTATAGCTAACTTTGTGATTTATTTTTCTGAACATTTATACATACAAAAATTGAAATTTCACAAACATAAAATTATTTCACTTAAAATGAGAATGAGTGTAGGAGCATAGTAAAAAAAACCAAAAGGAGCAAGTTCAAATACAACTATAAAATTATTTCACTTGAAAATGAGCACATGAGCATAGTAAAAAAAAAACATAAAATTATTTCATTTGAAAATAATAATAAAAAAAACAAAAGGAGCAAGTTCAAATACAACCATTGGATGCAAACGGTCATTGCTCCAGCGCATGCCATGTGTCCAGTTTTAATAAGTGAAAGGGATGACTTTTAGCCATGATGCGCCTGTTCCTTCAAGTGGGTTCAGTTTGGGCCTCACAAAAATTATTGCCTGGATTGCTAAATGGTCCCAAATTCTGCCTGAAAAACTAGCTGGGTAATAATTTAGCCTTCCTATACGTGCGTTGGGAGAGTTTTTGGGCTAAAATCCCAAATTTTAGGTTTAGCCCCCTTGCATTCGAGATGGCCTTGGAGCTACGAAGCATAGGTTACCTTTGGAACAAGAACTCCATGCGTGGTACCAAGTGGAATTAATGGATATTCAACAGTATTTTGCGTGCTAAAAGGCTTAATGAGGAGGAGAGTTTGACAATTGTTGATGACTCGAAGGAGATGGGGCATAGAGGGTTGAGGTCTGACGATCTCAGCATCTGCCGCCATCTGCAGAGTCTTTATACGATACTTCACATGAAGTGCTGGAGGACTCAAAGATAACTACAGCTTCAATACTTTTATAATTAGGGAGATTCACTAATATACCCAATATAGGAGCCCAAATTATAAAAAAACCCTATATGAAATGGAATTTATAAACACACCCAAAGTCCATTTATAACATAACAAAAAGGCTTTTAACTTCTTTTAAATTATAAAATTGCCATTGATTTCTTAAAACAAACCCAACCCAAAATTTCATAAAAAAGCCCAAAACACTCAATAGGGTATCAAAGTAATTTAATAATTAAAATTAAATTTAATAGTACTATTTGTCATTTTTTGGGTTTTTTTGGGTATGTTTATAAAAATGAAATGATTAGGGTTTATTTATAGTTTTAGTGCTAAGAATGGGTATATTACTAAATATCTCTTATAATTAAGAGACTTTTGCCAAGGTGAGCTTTTAGAAAGTGATGGGCTTTTATGTCTATATTGGTTTTGGGATGTGGCAATGTAATTTGGAGGGAAGACATAAAGAAGAAAAGTTTATTTGATTAATGGATAGGACCTGCAAAAGGCTTGTAGGTGAAGCGGTTAAGAGTTTTTATTCTTGAACCGATGGTTCTAGGTTCAATTCCCCCTCTCTTAATATCGTTGTGTAAAAAAAAATTTAATTGGTAGCACTTGACTGATGGAGAGAGCACTATATAGACACAAGTTTGGGCCTTTTCCACTTGTGGGTTTCAAAATTGTCCAGGAGGAGCCTACACACTAGGGGTGAGCATCGAGATCGGAAAACGAGAACATCGAGCCGCACTGGACTGAAAAAACTAGAAAAAAATCGTGTTGACTAAAAAGTTAACAAACCAGAACTGTACCAGATCAGACTGGTTCAGACAAATTTCAATGCCGATTTCACACCTTACAAAACTAGACCGGATCATACCAAACCGCCTGCATATATTTTTTATTAAAAAAAATATTTTAAATCCAACGCTAAATTTCTAATTTCATAACTCCCCAAGCCCAACTTCAAAGTACCTTTCTTTTCTAGGTCCAATTATCTCTCTTTGCATGAAATTGGATCATTTGTGAATATTTAAGTCCAAAAAATAAAATTTTAGTTGACATTTGTAAAAAAGAATAATTTGGAAAAAATATATATAAAAATGTATGATCCAAAATCGAAAAAATCGAAAACTGCATCGGAACTGGTTTAAACCTGACCATCCAATTTCATAAAAAAATTTTCACCAAAACCAAACCAAACCACACCTGTTCAATAATATCGATTCCAGTTCCAATGTGAGATGAAAACTGAACTGGACCACGCCCCCCCTACTACACACAAACAAACAGAGGAGGATGAGTGTATTGGGATTAGAGAGCTGATACAATTTAAGATATCTTTTTCTACTAATGGTACCAAACCGTGAATGCCAATTTTTGGTCAACAAGAGTAAAACCATAAAACTACACGATCATAAACAAATACCACAAAATTAACTTGATTCACTCAATTCGAGCGACACTCACCATCTGTTGCTTTGAGTTTTTACTATATGAAGGTAAAGAAGTGCAAAATGACGAGAGCTTAGTTGTGTTACACATAAGGAGAGAGCTATGTATATGGGCTTATAGGCTATGTGTTACACCCACTTGTGTGCTTCCCATATGGGCTGTATGTTACACCCATACACAAACATGTTGAATATAAGCGATAAAATACAATGGGGAGGAGGATTTCTCACACACGCACTACCAACATGCCATAAAAATTTGAACATGAAATCATTGATCTGCAAATCAAAATTTTACTAGGCCAGACCCTATTAAATTTAAGAGAAGTTTCCTTTTAATGATAATTAGAACCAACTCCCTCCCTCAATTCTTATTAATTAAGTTTAAACAAAATTTGCGAAAACTATACTTCGGTAATCAAATCGAGTTGTATATTATTATGTGACACCGTAATGAGTATATTAAAGTATAAGTTTACATACCTCCTTTGTATAAGGGGACAGACACACTGCCTTAACTAACTGGTCTAGTCATTTTGCCGTTTTTTATATGCTTTGTGTTATTCTTTTGGTTGACAATTTGAGAGAGCTTGGTCATTATCGAACCAAGTGTCAGCATAAGGGTTATCATTGCATTTCGTACCTACTACGCATATTTGCGATCCATCAACAAGGAGTAGCCATAGATATATGTATAATGTATAGATATGCCTCCATTATATACGTTCTAAAATATCTTCACTTTTACCAAAACATCATGACCAAACAATGCACAACATGCATATGCAAATTAATAATGTATGAGATTTAGACCTATACTCTTACTTGTGTTACTTATTCTTGTCCCTACCAACTACTCAATACCCACCCAACCCAAATTTGATTCATCAAGATAATTAAGAACCTGGTTGACTTGGATTAATAAAATTTTGCTCATATTCGAGTTTGAGAAATATGACATTGATATGAGTTTTGGCTAAACTATTAAACTATCCGGGTCTATGTTGTAGGGCAAATTGGCTTGGCATTACCAACTCTGTATTCTCTCTGATATACAAAATCTACGGGGTCAAATTCTGTGACCCCATCAACTTCCAACTCCTTGGCCCTCCGGAGAATACCATTTGCCATGTACGGTACCTAACACACGCCAAAGACTTTTTGTATATAAAGTCAAAGTTCGCACATGCCAATTGACTTCATGTTATTGTAATATTTCTGAGATACAGATGGTACAAATCAGTACAATAGCACCAGCTAGGGAGCTGTAAATCTCAATGGTCCATACAAGAAGTAAAAAACAGACAATAATATGCAGTTACCTCATGGAATTGCAGTAATGAAATTCAACACCTACTGCTCGGTTTTTGCTGATAATTTTTGGATTGTAGCTCACTGCAGAGGTGTTGAGCTAATTGCCAAAAATGGAGGACCACATCCTATCATCAATATTTCAGGCTTTTTTATGCAAACATACAGTTAACTCAGGGGATTTAGTCCAGTGGTAGGATGCTCGCTTAGGGAGCGAAAGGTCCCGAGTTCAATTCTCGGAATCCCCATTTCCTTTTTTGTGTGTTCTTTGTAGTAGAGGAAAAACTGGAAAATGTTAATGTGATACCTTTGTCACCAAATAGCTATTAGTCTAATGGTATTTCTTTTCCCAACCTCAGGAGAGATTCTAAGTTCGAATCCCCAGTGTACTTACCCTTAACCAGCGGTAAATAATGAGCTTTCTGATACCAAGTGGGATGGATATTCAACAAGGTGCTAGAAGAAACTTGTTTTGTTATGTTCTTTTGCTGTCATCAAATTTGAAAAAACAATAACAAGGAGTTTGATAATTGTTGATGACTTGAAGGATGGGGCAGAGAGACTTGAGACTGGTATGAGCTCAGCAACTGCGTCCATTTGTAGCGTCTTTGCGCAACACTTTACATAAAGTGCATGGAGGACTCAAAGATAGCAACAGCTTCAATAATTTATAATTAAGAGGCATTTGTCAAGCTTAATCAATTGGTCTTTGCTGTCTCATTGAGGATTATTGAAAATACATTTGATGTTAATTATGTTATTGCAAGTCCTCCTTCGCATCGTAATTTGTCAACCCTTGTGACGATATAGGTATTATACAAAGCTCAAGCTTCCAATTCTTTATACTTGCTTTAACTGAAAGTCACCTTATCTTAATTCTTCTTAATAAACTGAAATCTATTTGCTAGCTGGGTGACATGTGTAATTAACCTAAGAACCAGCATCCAATGTTTTCTACTCCTAATTCTCAAGATATTTACTGGAGTATGAAACAATGCTAAGACTGTGTATGCAGCTGGTTAATTTGAAAGAATAATGAGGAGACAAGAAAAGACTTATAACCCACCACAACAACCTCTAGAGATTACACAATGAAGATCTATAACTTTTCTGACTTATCTGAACAAAAATTGTTTTATCTTAACCTACTTGAGAAAAAATGCTAGATTTCAGCGTAT